TCTGGCATTTTTCTTTCAAAGCATCCATTAAATACACGCTGTCTTTCCCGTCTGGTTACACTCTCTCCGGCCCTTGATTGTACCATGAGGTTGGGAGGGGCAAGGCCCTTGGGAGTTGATGGTCCCACAGCAGGGCAGGCACAGGGCAGAGGTTCAGACATAGTTTGGGAAGGGGCTTCCGCGTGTCCCAGCTCTGCACCTTGTGTTCAAAATATGTAAACGTGTTAAAACATCAAGGAGGCCTCCTTGGGTATGTAAGTGCCCCAAGCTCTCAGAGGCCTCCAAGGAGCGCGGTGAGTAACCTCTCATCTGGAGGGTCCATTTCAGAGTGGGAGATGAGGCCCAGCTGGATGGGCCTTTGCTCAGGACTATCCAGCAGGTAAGTGAGGAGCTGGGCAGAGCAGGTGTGCTCCAGGGCCAGCCTGATCTCTGTGTCTGGTGGTGAAATGAGGAAGCCAGGGTCCAGGCACAGACTGGGGGGATGTTAAGGGAACCACAAAATGACTGGCTCCCAGGAGACTGTACAAGTTGTGTGGCCTGCGTTTCAGCACCAGAGGCTGTATGACACACGAAGGAACCTGTCTGTCCAAAAATGCCCTCTCCTGGGGCATGAAACAACAACCCCCTCTTCAGACTTTGAGTCCCTTTCGGAAACTGGTCTTTGGGGGTTTTGTTCTGCATGTGTTTCCTGAGGAGCTGGCTGTGGAGTGCCCACTCTCAGCCTGGGCCCTGGTGTCCAGCGAGGGAGGCCACCCGCCCCTTTGCCTTCCCCCGTGGGGAGGGGTATATTCGTGGTGGTTGAGTCACTATCTCGGTTCTCTCAGGTCTTTCCCGGTGGCTCAGTGGTAAAGAATCCACCTGCAATGCAGGAGACGCGGATTCGATCCCTGGGTCAGGAAGATCCCCTGGAGAAGGAAATGGCAACCCACGCCAGTATTACTGCCTGGAGAATTCCCTGGAGAGAGGAGCCTGGCAGGCTACAGTCCATGGAGTTGCAAAGAGTTGGAAACAAATGAAGCAACTTAGCACGCATGCACACACTCATGCACGCACGCAGGCACACTAGGCCCTCTCATCTAGGTCAGCCACTCTGGAAATGGCTGTGGAATCTACCTTGGGCAAAACCAGTGAGCTCTGGAAAGCGGTGGGTTTTATTTGTAATCTCTGTGAAACAATTCTGGGGTGATATCCACCCTTTGATCAGAGCCCACGTGATTTCCACTGTGTGGGTTCTGAAGCATGACCTCTTCACAGCTTTGGCCTAAATGTAACTTCCTCGTAGATTCCTGAAAGCCCTTTGTTTTATTAGAGGAGTCCCGTTGGGATCAGGCTGGGTGTCCTTGGCAGAGGAAACAAGATTTACTGAGAAAATCTGAGTATAAACCAGATTGTGTGTGTGTGTTGGGGAAGGGGCAAAGATAGCATTACTTAGGAGTTACTGGACACTTAAGATTTGTTCTCTTGGACCTTCTTTTATGCTAACATTTCTGCATCTGGGAAGATTCAGTTAAGATCCTCTGTGCTCATTCTCTTGGCTTGATGATCAGTAAAATCAGATGGTAGGTTTGCAATTCCTCAAAAAGTGAAGTCTAGAGTTACCATGGGACCCAGCAATTCCACTCACAGGTATATACTCAAGAGAATTTTTTGTTCACACAAAGAGTTGTACATTCATAGCAGCATTGTTCACTTTAGCCAAAAGGGGGAAACAACCAATGTCCGTCAGTGGACCAAAGGATAAACACATTGTGGTTTCTCCACACAGTAGAATATTACTCAGCCATAAAAAAAAAGAAATACTGATACAAGTTACAGCTTGGATGAATATTGGAAATATCATGCTAAGCGAAAGAAACCAGAGGCAAAAGGTATGGAATAAACACATCTATAGTGACAGAAAGATTAATGATTTTGGGGTTGGAGGGAGGAAAGAATGAGAAATGAATGCTAATGGATATGGAGTCTTTTTTAGGGGGAGTAGTGATGTACATGTTTTGGTATTAGATTGTGGTGACTGTTGTACAACTTTATGAATGTACTAGAATCCACTGGGTTGTACACTCTGAGATAGTGAGTTTCATAATATATGAAAAACATCTCACTGCACCGCATGGCTTACAGAATCTTGGTTCCCTGACCAGGGATTGAATCTGGGCCCTCGGCAGTGAAAGTGCAGAGTCCTACCACTGGACTGCCAGAGAAATCCCCCAAATATCTCAATTTAGAAAATTAGGCAGCAGGAGGCCTGCCCTGCCTTTAAAACTTTATTATTTCTGTAAAGTGTCATACTCACTTAAAAATATTCAGACAGTATCAAAAAAGAGGAAAAAAGCTCAAAGAAGAAAATAAAAACATCATCTGGCAAGCACTAGTAGCATTTAGGTTTAGAGTGCAGATGTGGTCAGACTGCCGAGGATTAATCTTGGGCATGTTCCTAAAGTTCTTGCCAAAATGAAGAGGAAGCCCCCCTCCTGAATGCAAAGATGTTGTTGAAAGCTCCGTGGATGCCCTCTCATGTCATCATTACATGTATGTGTGTAGGTGTAGTTAGGTGCCTGTGCTTGGTGGTCCACAAGTGAGATCAGGCTCTATGTGCTGTTCTATTGCCTAACTTTTTCATGGACAAGCTTTTTTTTTTTTAAGACTTTATGATGTTTCTAGAGTAGTCGTAGGTTCACAGCAAAGCTGAATGGAAGGCGCAGAAATGTCCTATACGCCCTCTGTCTGACACATGCAACACCGGAGTGCTGCGTTTGTCACGTTTGATGAACCTACACTGACATAATCAACCACAGACCATAGTTCACGCTATGGTTCTCTCTGGGTCTTGTGTAATCTGAACCACGAAAAAACTTTTCATGTAAAAATTCTTCCACTGTAAAATTGCCTCCAGAATATTCCATTGTATGCGTGTATAATAGCGTAGCCTGTAATCTCCCATTGGTGGAGGTTTCCATTGATGGAGTTGCCCATTGGTTGAGGCTGTTTGCCCAGCACTGCTACTATGTTAGAACCTATAATTCAACATCACCAATTGCACACTTGCTTTCTGAGCACCTACAGGGTGTGTGCCTGGGAGTGCAGATCCATGGCTTAAGCCAAGGGTTTAGGTGTCTGGTGAAGTAGGTCAGGGGTGATCAGAGGGGAGTCCGGTTGTCCTTGGCACACCGATGCCAGGTGAGAATTGGCATCAGATGAGCCAGGGGAGAGGCGGGTGTCCAAGAGTGTTGGGCAAGGGAGGCTGCCGAGGAGAAAGGGTGGAATGGGCTGGAGCGCCGCCAGGCCCCCAGTCCACGAGTGGGTGTGTCAGGGGTCAGTGGAGGAGAGAGGAGGGCGGATTCCAGGAGAGGGGCCACAGGCGGCTTGTGGCTAAGAAACACCTCCCCTCCCCAACCCGGCTCCGGCAGCCCTTCCTGGGCCTGGGTGTGTGCTCAGGCCCCACACTCTGCACCTGGACAACTAGAGAAATCAGTTCACGTTTATCGAGGGCTGTGCCTAGTTGGGTGAGGCCAGGGTTTGCTCTCCGGGGAACCAGTGAATGATCCCAGGGGCGCTGAGGGAGTAGGAGTTCAGCTCCTTTGACTAACCCACTGCCCGTCCAGCCTGTGCTGGGCTCATGGGGCTTTCTTCCCCGTGAGGACCCCAGGGAAGCCTGTAGGCCCAGACACCGGTCTGACATGACAGTCCTCTGTGTGTGCTGGCCCCTGTCACCTGCTTTCCTAGCTGCCCAAACCTGTTCCTTGAACCCTTCACACCCCCTCCCTTCCTGCCACTGGACTTCTTGGCCTAAGCTATTTCCTCTGTGATGAAGGCCCCTGACCCCAGCTGTTTTTCAAGGCTCCAGCTCAAGCTTCCCTGGGTGGCCCATGGTGGACCCCTCTCCCCAACAAGTTGGTAGCCTGCCTCTCTCAGTCCTATGACCCTCCTGGCTTTGGAAGCAGAGCTCTCTGGGTGGTTCTCTGACCTCCTCACTGGCTGCTGGCCCCAAGGGCAGGCTGGCACAGAGGGGGGCCATGTTGAAGGAGGCAGATGAAATGTGCCCCTTCCATAGCCTGCCTGACCACCTGCCACATTCCCAGGCCCTGTTCAGCTCCTGGTGTCTGCTTCTGTCCCTGGCTGGTCCCTGGGGGCCTTTTGGGTCCTGGCCCAGTTGGCAGATTCAGCCTGATGAACACTCCTCGGGCTATATCTGGACAGCCTTTCTGAGGGCCTGGGACTGCAAAAGTGACAATACCTGCTGGGGGGCTTGTTTTGGTCCCAGCCTTGTCAGTTTCTCATTTGTAAAACTGATTCATGTTGACATATGGCAGAGGCCAATAAAATATTGTAAAGGAATTCATTTCAGTTCAGTCGCTTAATTGTGTCCAACTCTTTACAACCCCATGAACTGCAACACGCCAGGCCTCCCTGTCNATGGGACCAGATGCCATGATTTTAGTTTTCTGAATGTTGAGCTTTAAGCCAACTTTTTCACTCTCCTCTTTCACTTTCATCAAGAGGCTCTTTAGTTCTTCACTTTCTGCCATAAGGGTGGTGTCATCTGCATATCTGAGGTTACTGATATTTCTCCTTCAATAAAAAAAAGTCGTAATTAAGAAAAATGGTAGAATGCATAAGTTTCAATACATTGGGGACCGTTTAGTCAATGAGAGGCAAAGTTAAACTCCCTCCAATCTCCTATGCCAGATCTGCCCTACCTCACCCAGGTTTTTACTTCCCCAGAGGAGATATTAGTGTGTATTTGAATACCAATGGCAACAGTGCCTGGAGGTCCAACCATAAGGTGCCCCCATAAGTGTGGGAAGATCTGGGGGCCACTGTATCTTGGAAAACTACTGTTTAAGGACATTGCGGCCTGGCCCCTCCCATTACAGAGGGTAAATGAAGGTCCAGAGAGGGGAGGGGAGGTGTTGTGCCCCAGACCACACAGATGATGCAGGACAGAGTGGTGGCCTTCCAGTTACCTGCAGTGCTGCCTGAGAGGGTACCAGGCGGACTGGAATGTGCTTCTGCATCGCTTATTGGCAGCTTGCTGTCTGCTTCCTCACCGCACTCACGTGTGTGTGTGTGAGCCTGGGCCACACTTGGCCTGCACACCTGGCCCTCTTTCCTTGCAGATGTTCTCTTTGATTGCAGGTCCCCTTTCCTGGACATCAGGTAGGACCTTGTATCGCCTACCCCTCTCCCTGGAGCCCTCACGATCAGCATATCTCCAGCCTCTTTCTCACCCGCAGACTTCCTTGTTGGTCCTTAACCAGCACTGTTTGTTCTCTCAGCAGAGATTTCTTCCTGCCCCCTCTCTCCTGGGGGATGTCACCTGGCAGTTCCTTTGTACCCCTTCTCTTCCAACAGCCCCCTCCTCCTGATCCCACTGTCATGGCCTCTCACCGCAGCCTATTTTATAGGCTGGTTGTCTTACTGGCTAACTGATCTCCTTAGACCTGGGGCTGAGGCTGGTGACCTGTGAACTGGGTGGAATCTGGTCCCTGTCGGCTTAGTGTGGTCCTTGAAGAATTTTGTTAGTTCCTTTAATGTGGCCTCTGCTTACCAGTTCCCCAGAGGTATACCCACTGTTGTTACTGTGTACCTACCCAGCTTCCTACATCGTCCACTGGCCCTTTGAGTTTGAAATCCTCCCTTACAAGGGCTAAGCCTTATCTTTCTGTCTGTCTCTGACTACGGCATCCTCAGCACAGAACACATTGAAGAGCAAGAGGTTCATTAACTTATATAAGTGAGTGAATGAATATATTAATGAATGAAAATAAGTGCAAAATAGTTGTTTAATGTGTGCAAAAAAAAATAATCATGGTTGTAGGTGCACAGAATGTCTCTGGAAGGATTCATATAAACTTGGTAACAGTAGATTAGAGAAGGGAACTGGGGGGCTGGGAGGATGAGATGGAATTAGGATAACCCTTGCTCCTTCGGAATTTAATTCAAATTTTACAAAAATTGGAGTTTCATTGAAAGGTGATTGCATGCTTTCAGAAGATCAAGTCTTGGCATTCGAGGCCTTTTCTGCGGTGGGCCCACCTCTGCCTTCTCAGTCGTGAGCCCCCCTGAATCTGATGTGGTCTTTCCCCCTATCCCAGTAGTGCCCGGTCCAAGATGGGGTCCCAGGTCTCAATGGACACAGGAGCCGTGCACGTCGTGATCGTGGGCGGGGGCTTTGGTGGCATTGCTGCCGCCAGCCAGCTGCAGGCGCTGAACATTCCCTTTGTGCTGGTGGACATGAAGGACTCCTTCCACCACAACGTGGCAGCCCTCCGGGCCTCTGTGGAGAGCGGTAAGGGGCCCTGTCTGGGGCTTTCTTTGTGATAGTGGCCTCCTCACTGCTGGGTCAGAGCGTGGTTTTCTGCCCTTACAGAAAGCTGCCCCAATTCCACCACTGACAAGTTCTGGGGAATCTTAAGTCCCTGGCCTTAAGCAGCTATCACACGAAGGCCCCAGAAGTCAGCCTGTGAGCTTCCTTGAGGACCTGGGGCTCAGACTGGGTGCTTTAAGGGGTAGTGGCTACCCAGGGGTCATTTAACCAAGGGTGTCGCTGTTGGCATGCATCTCAGGAGGGGTTCTGAGTTTTTCTGGCCTCCTGTGGGCAGCCCAGCTTTATACCGCCACCTCCTTTCTCTCCTTTCCCCAGGGTTTGCCAAAAAGACATTCATTTCCTACTCGGTGACCTTCAAGGAAAACTTCAGGCAGGGCCTGGTGGTCGGGATAGACCTGAAGAATCAGACGGTGCTGCTGGAAGATGGCCAGGTGAGTCCAGCGGGGGCTGGCTGTTCTCAGCTGACTTCAGGAGCCCCCTGGGATGTGGTTGCTGGTGGGAGGATACCTGGGCTGCTATCCTCAGGGACGAGGCGCCCCCATCCCTGCCCGGTGCCTGGAAGACAGCAGATGCCTCCTGAGCTGAGGCCAGACCCCAGCGGCCACAGGAGAGTGGCGCAGACATTTTTGGAGCCCTCCCTGTATGCCAGGCACTGTCTCAAGCCTCATGTGCTCTCCTTTAATGCCCACTGTGACCCCGCGAGGGAGGTGGAGGAGTCTCAGCGGACCCCGAGCTTAAGAGGCTTGCCCAAGACCCCACAGCTGGAAAGACTCCACCAGCATGTGGACCCAGGCAGTTTTTTTTGCCCAGCCCAGAGGCCCCCTCGCTGTCTGGAATCAAAGGGTAGGTGCCATGATCCCACATCACCCAGTGGGGGAGGGGTGCAGAGGTTTTCCTCCTGGAGTTTGGGCTCCTCAGCATGGCGTAAGCTCAGGGCCTGGTGGATCCCCAAAGGACCAGAAATCTGTCAGTGAGCCGCCACCTGCCCACCCGCTGGAGGATCCCCTCCAGCCTGGACCTCTGCTCTAGTCAAAACCAAGTGGGGGTTGGACAAACGGGCTCCAATTCCTGTCTTTAGCGAGTGTGTGGTTTCTTGTGAATCAGTCCTCCTTGAATCAATTTTAAGACTATAGAACCTCTGCTTGGCATATGATAGGGAACCTCCTTATCCTGTGGTTTTGGGTCCCTGAGGGCATCTCAGGCCTCCATGGGGGAGTGGGGGGCTGAGTGGGATACAGACCCTCCAGTCTCCCTCCCATCAGAGCAACTCTGCCATTGTCAATTTTATATCTGTAACATCTTATGGAAAAACCAAAATGAGTGAACTTTTTGGCCAGCCCAATATTTAAGTTCCAAACAGGATTTCCTTCCCTCTTTTTTTTTTCTTCTTTTGGCTAGGATGGCAAAAGTTTCTTCTAAAATAATGGTAGTAATAGGGAGATTCTAGACTAACTCCACATTGGAATCTAGAATCCTACTTATTCCTCAGAAATAGTTTTTAGCCTGGTGGAGCCTGGGGTTGGATACAGAAGCCCAGGCTCTATCCTCACCTTTTTTTTCCTTGCTCCTCCCAGGCCCTGCCCTTTTCACATCTCATCCTGGCCACGGGCAGCACTGGGCTCTTCCCGGGCAAGTTTAACCAGGTTTCCAGCCAGCAGATGGCCATCCAGGCCTATGAGGACATGGTGACGCAGGTGAGCTGCCCACTGCCAGGGGCGGGGATTGAGGACAGAGCCGGGGGGGCCCTGGAGACTGAAACAGCTGTGGGACACCTGGGGCTGCAGCAGGGAGCCCCCAGAAGGTATCTGGGGCTGCAGAGGAACTGTAGAGATGCAGAGTTACCAGAAAGAGGCTCCTGGGAGAAGACCTTTGGACCTGTCATGAAGTCTGGACATGGGCATCTAGACCTGCTCATGTAGCTATTGGCTCCTGTTTTTACAGGGCACATGTTTTACAGAGCGGGCTTGGATCCACGCTCTTGGTTCTCATGGGGATCCTGAGAGGTGGGTGGAATGGGTTTGTCCCCATTGAATAGATGAAGCATGGGGACCTGGAGAAGGTCATGCAGCCATGTGACCGAGGTCAGGCCTTTCCCTCTCTGCAAAGCCACTGAGAGGCCTGGGGAACTTCTCTCATAGTCATGAGCAGATGTTAGACTTGAAGTTAAGAACCTAGCCTGATCTCAGGCTAGGCTATGATCTCAGACAGATTCGCTCATCTGCAACGTGAGCAGGTAGTGAGAGCTTAGTAAGAAATGCAGGGAGACACCCAGCAAAAGCCTGACCCCGAGGAAGCATATTTGGACCCTGAACTTGAAAAGGGTTCTCCATGCTTCCTTGGTCAAGGTACCCACTTCCTAGTCTGGACCCAGAGGTGGGGTGGGCTTGAGGGTGTGCTTACATTTCCTGCTTCTCCAGGTCCAGCGCTCACAGTCCATTGTGGTGGTGGGAGGAGGCTCTGCAGGAGTGGAGATGGCCGCAGAGATTAAAACGGAATACCCCGAGAAAGAGGTGGGCCAGTGACCTTGGCTTTGAACTCCCCAAAGTGGGCTTCTTTTTTGTCTAATGAATATCAGAATTTTCTCAGGGCCTGCGAAGGCAGTCCCATTAACATAAAGTGGGAGCATGTGTTTCCCATCTCCTGCTCTCTGTACTGGGCACCCCCCTAAAGTCCCATTCTGCTGGGAATTCTTCCTGGAGAGCTAGGGTGTGCCATTGTTCAGTGATAGGTTCTGCTCTCTAGGCCAACCTGGAGGATCAAGCCCAGGGGGGGGTTGATATTTTACAAAAATATTTTACAAAAGATTAACTCCCGTGTCCCCTGCAGCAATTTCTCCTTTGTGACAGAAACTTTGATTACCTCTTTTTGCTGACAACCAGCTTGGTCAAAGATATCCTCATTGGTGTCTTGTCTGGGTAAGAGAGGAGTTTCCCTGGTGACTCAGACGGTAAAGAATCTGCCTGCAATGCAGCAGACCCGGATTTGATCGTTGGGTCAGGAAGATCCCCTGGAGGAGGAAACAGCAACCCACTCCAATATTCTTGCCTGGAGAATCCCACAGACAGAGGAGACCGGTGGGCTACAGTTCATAGGGTTGCAAAAGAGTGAGACATGCCTGAGTGACTAACACTTTCACTTTTTCTGGATAAGAGACAGTAGTCTTCTTCCTGGTCAGATAGGGGGACCCTGCAGTGCACCCCTCACGGCCCCTGCTGAGGGACGGGCCAGCACTGTTTTCTGCCTGTGAGAGGGTGGCTCTGCTCCTGTTTATGGAGGGATAGAGAACTTGCTGGCATCTTGGAGAGAAAGGGAGCAGACTATAAAGGCTCAACCTAGGGCTGAGTGCTGCTGCTGCTGCTAAGTCGCTTCAGTCGTGTCCGACTCTGTGCGACCCCATAGATGGCAGCCCACCAGGCTCCGCCGTCCCTGGGATTCTCCAGGCAAGGGTACTGGAGTGGGTTGCCATTTCCTTCTCCAATGCATGAAAGTGAAAAGTGAAAGTGAAGTCACTCAGTCGTGTCCAACTCTTCGCGACCCCATGGACTGCAGCCCACCAGGTTCCTCTGTCCATGGGATTTTCCAGGCGAGAGTACTGGAGTGGGGTGCCATTGCCTTCTCCGAGGGCTGAGTGATGATCAGTGATTATGGATTCGTGAGGCGAGAGCTTGGCTGTAGCTGATGCCAGATCAGCTTCTGGGAGCCATGTGGAGCCTGTGGCTGGTTCTTTTTCCCTAGGGAAAGGCAGGTTGGTTTTGAAAAGTAAGATCAATATAGGCTAATTTAATTATATGGCTATTCTTTGATGATTTATTGGAAATTATTATGAGTGACTGATGTGGAAGTTGATTAATTTTGATTTATGGGGTAGAGACTGGTCTGAAGTAGTAAATAACTCAGAATAATTCTTATGTGTTGATAATTAGCAGACAGTAAGAGTAATTGTAGTCACCCTTTATTAAGGAGTCAGTGTATGCTGAGCTGGGGCTTCCCAGGTGGCTCAGCAGTAGAGAACCCACCTGCCAGTGCAGGAGATGAGGGTTCAATCTTGGGTCAGGAAGATCCTTTTGAGGCGGAAATAAGAGCCTGCTCCAGTATTCTTGTCTGGGAAATCCCGTGGACAGAGGAGCCTGGTGGGCTACAGTCCATAGCAGCGCAAAGAGACATGACTGAGTGCACACGTACATGTGCCGAGCTATGTGTTTTCTACTTACTTTGTCATTTCATCATTACAAAATCCCTCTGAGTGGGACTGTCCACTTTACGAAGTTTTTGGGAGGTGTCTGAGTGGATATCTGAGATGGGATTTCAACCCAGCCAGTCTGATTTCAAAGTCCAAGCTCTGAACATCTCTACAAGCTGCCTTCCACTTCACTGCACTGACCCAGGCAGCAATAGACATGTTTGGAAGCACCAGTTTTAGAACCAGCTTTAGTGTAAATGTCAGCCTGATTTACAGAGTGTCGATGGCTTACATAGAGACTGTGTAAGTGCCCAAGGATGCTTGAAAATCATTTTCCACATGGCCCTCAGTGAGGTATGTGTCAAGAAGCATTGGCACATCTGAAAGAATTCCAGTCTGGGAGATATGGGTTCCAGCCCAACTCACCATTAACTGGTCTGAAATTGCATGTGTTAGTTGTTCAGTTGTGTCCAACTCTGTGCGACCCCATGGAATGTAGCCCGCCAGGCTCTTCTGTCCATGGGATTCTCCAGGCAAGAATACTGGACTGGATAGCCATTCCCTTCTCCAGGGGACCTTCCTGACTCAGAGATCGAACCTGGGTCTCCTGCATAGCAGGTGGATTCTTTACTGTCTTATAACTGGTCTGCCAGTGGGCCACTTACTTCGCTGGGGCCTCAGATTCCTCACCTGTAAACTGGAAGCTGGGAGGAGGTGCGGGAGAAGCGCTGCTGTTTTCAATCCTCTCTGTGTGAGTGGGAGACTCAGTGGTTTCTCTCTGCCCTGTGGTTCTTTGCCCCCAGGTCACTCTCATTCACTCCCAGATGGCCCTCGCAGACACAGAGCTCCTGCCCTGTGTCCGGCAGGAAGTGAAGGAGATCCTGCTCCGGAAAGGCGTGCAGCTACTGCTGAGTATGTGCAAGGCCCCTCCTGCCCGGCCTCTCTCCCCGGCAGAGGCTTGGTCTCTGCCCACAGTCCGAGTGAGTGTGGCTGCGCTCAGCCCCAGGCTGTCTGTTCAGTGCCCATTTAGCCGCGTTGTCCTGCTGGAGGTGTGTCTGGGCAGGGCCGAGGCCCCGGTCCTGAGAGATTTCCATGTCATGGAGGCAGCACCGTCCTGGCTGTTGCTTAGGACGGAGTACAGGTGGGACCCATTTGTTGAATGGTTTAAAAATCACGTAAAAGATTCGACCTGAATTATGATATTTCTTTGGTGAAGAGAAGAGGTGTTTTTGGTTTGTATTTTGAGGGTGGTGGGACTTCTCTGTGACTCAGATGGTAAAGAATCTAGACCCAGTTTTGATCCCTGGGTCGGGAAGCCTGGAGAAGGGAACGGCAACCCACTCTAGTATTCTTGCCTGGAGAATTCTATGGACAGAGGAAGTCTGGCAGGCTGCAGTTCATGGGGTCACAAAGAGTCAGACACAACTGAGTGACTAATACTTTCACTTTTTGAGAGTGGTGAAGAGCGTGGTTTTTGTCCAGAGCAGGAGGGAAGAGATCTACCCAGCATGTTAGGGTGGGGCTCTTGTTCTGGGGGTGTGACCCCCCCCAGTTCACTGCCCAACCCGCTCACCTTTTGCTGGGAGGGTGGGGTGTCTGCTCCATGAGAGCCCTCCTGGCTCCTGGGCTTCATGAAAGTGGCCGTACAGCCCTCCTCCAGGCAGCAAGGACAGTGGGCCCCTCGACTTACCTTGCCCCTCACGGGGGTGAGCCTGGAGGGCTCGTCCTGCCTGGCTGGGCTAGTGGAGTACATATTCAGGAGGGCGGTTTCCTCAGATAGCTTTTCGCAGAACCTCTTGGGAAACTCAACCTCATTTCCCCAAGTTGCTTCTTGGAACCTGCCTCCCTTTGGGTCCCTTGGGGCCAGATGTCCCACTGGTGCTTCTCGGGGCTGCAGGGCGCACTGGTCTCCGGCTGTTAGGCCAGCCCTGGCTTGGGCCTCGGCCTTGGAGACACACCTGCCCTCTGCCAGCCCCCTGGTCAACCAGCCTCCCCTGACAGGTGAGCGGGTGAGCAACCTGGAGGCACTGCCTGTCAACGAGTATTGTGAGTGCATCAAGGTGCAGACGGACAAAGGCACGGAGGTGGCCGCCAACCTAGTGATTGTCTGCAACGGTATCAAGATCAACAGTGCAGCCTACCGCAGCGCGTTTGGTAAGTGGGAGGCTCAGTGGTGGGCCCCTCCACAGGCTGCGTCTTCTCTCTCCAGCCCCCGGGAAGGTCCTGCAGGACTCTGCCCCAGGAACCGGCACTCTGCCCCCCACCCCCACCCTATCTCAACAACTCATTTGGTTTCTTCTGAATGGTGACATCAAACTTCAAATTCAGGTCCACTTCTGCTGTGCGTCCCTCTGCTGTTTTGATGACTTAGCTCAAGGTGCCCAAAGTGACCCGATTCTTCCAAAATCGGATCCCACCCCTAGTGGTAAGAGATGGAAATAGGTTTCCGAGAGAAGGATTTGCTTTCTGTTAACTTCTCTCTGCAAATGCAGGGGAAATTCCAGGGTCAGGCCTTTCTCTGTCCATAGGTGCTGCTCTCCCAAAATCCTGACCCAGACATTTGGCCACTTGAGCTTGGAACAATCTTGAGGAACGGGGGTGATAATGAAACCTCTTGTTCTTAAAGCTCAGCATTGACCTATTGAACTAAAATGGAGATGAGGGAGCTGGACCCATGGCTCCATCTGTGAGCTGGATACGCAGTGGTTCCTTCTCAGGCATCACTGTGGGCATGTCCCCAGGTCCCCATCATATGCTCCCCAGTACCTTTCCTAGATAAGAAGCTCCTGTTGTGTGTCTAGCAGAAAAGAATGATCCAGAAAGAAACTAGTCCTGGCTGTTTGGGGGTGGGATCAAGGGTTTAAAGTGTACAGAGATCCCAGGACTTAACACCTAATGGTCCTAATATTATACTTCCAAAGATAAATTGTTTAAAGTCCCTTATAAAGAAAAGTTTATCATTTATTAAAGTCCTGCATTTATTTAAAAAATATGATCCTCATTCAGAAGGAAATCCAAGACTTGCCTAGGTTGTGACTTCATCATCATAAGTAAATTCTTGTTAATCGTGGTAACATATAGAGACTCGTGTGCTTTGTAAGCAGTGACCCTTTCTGATATTTCTGACCAGTTTCCACCCTAGAATTGTAACCTCACCTTTGCACGAAGCCTTCTGAGGTGGGGAGGTCAGGCAGAAATAAACCAGGAAGGAGACTTGCCTCTTGAGGATGTGCCTTTAGACGGTGGCTGGACCAGCACCACGGCCAGTCCTCACTGTGGTTCAGGTGGCCACGGCAGCTCAGGATCTTGGTTTCAGGCTGGTTCTTCCTGGCAGGTGATCGGCTGGCTGGCAATGGCGCTCTGAGAGTGAACGAGTACCTTCAGGTGGAAGGTTACAGCCACATCTACGCCATCGGAGACTGCGCCGACGTGAGGGAGCCCAAGATGGCCTATCACGCCAGCCTCCACGCCAACGTCGCCGTGGCCAACATCGTCAACTCCATGAAACAGAGACCCCTCAAAACCTACAAGCCAGGTCAGGAAGCCCCACAAGTGGCACAGTCTTAAGAGAGTTTGGGTTAGATGTGGAGAAGCCTTTGTGGACTTTAGGATGCCTGAACGCTAGAACATACTCTGAAAGTTGGGGATAGAACCCGCCCCCACACCCCCAACCCCAACCCAGAGTTCTAGGAAGATGTGTCGGGGACTTGGCCACCTTCCTGAAAGCCGTATGCATTTCCCCGCCTAGACACTGAAGGCCCCGGGAAGGGTTTGTGCCCAGGGAGTTGCAGGCCCATGAACAGTGAGCAGGATTCTAGATTGTGTGCATGTTTCTAGATTGTGTGCATGTTTCTGCTCCACAGGTTCACTGACATTCCTCCTGGCCATGGGGAAAAATGATGGCGTGGGCCAGATCAGCGGCTTCTACGTGGGACGGCTCATGGTCCGGCTGGCCAAGAGCCGGGACCTGTTGGTCTCCACAAGCTGGAAAACCATGAAACAGTCTCCACCCTGATGGGGAAGCCGGGCAAGAGACAGGTACCACTGCCGCCTGGGGATCAGATTTCTTGACAGATGGTACCCACTTGACAAATGCCTAAGGGCAAAAACTCTTTCTGGGTTTGGAAAGGTGTTTTTGCACTCATGCTGGCTGAAGGGTTCACTTGGTCCTGAGGAGGGCATAGCCTGCCTTCTCTACCCCAGCCTCCTTTGTGAGTGCGCGCGCGGGGTTTGTGGCATTCAGAGCTCTGAGTAGGGGAGAGAGCGCCCTCTCCTGGTGACAGGAAGCATCTCCCTGTCTGTAAGGGCAGGAAAGAGGGCCTGCACAAGACCAGCTAAGGAAAGGGGGCTGGGATGGAGGGATGGTCTGCATCCCAATCTCTCCCATCACATGGGGGCTGGGGAAGCCTGTACATCCTGCAACGGTCAGGTTAATAGGAGCCTGATTTTTAAACTGTTAGTCCATACCATCTTTATTCTTCATGAAACATATATTTATATTTTTAGATCCTGATTATATACCATAGGTTACATTTAAGAAGCATTAGATGAAATTTCCCTCCTGGTTAGTCCATTCTACCAGAGAGCGAGTTTTTATAGACCTAAAGGGTTAAGACAGAAACCTGGTCTGCCAGCTGCTGGGGGTGTTAAGGAAAGGCAGCCAAGCTAGCGTGACCATTTTCATGGGTTGCAATCTGGCTAACATTCAGGGAACAGATTGGGGTTCAGCAGGAGAACCCCAGAATGCTTCCAGGCTAGCATCATGGGCAAATTTGTGACAAATCTCTAGCTGATGCTGGAGCAGGGGTACCCTGTGGGAACCCTGTGGTTTTGTTCCTCTGATTTCCTGACCAACCCCAATGTCACTTATCTGGAGGCTCAGCCTTGTGGCAATAATGCCTGCCACCAATGATGTTAAGGTATAAATAATAAAAAGTTGACTCTTCTATTAGAGAGAGGACTTCTAATCAGGATAAGCCTATTTGGGACCATAACCCTAATGCAGAAGAGTCTGATGAATTCATCTGAATAAATTCAGGCCCTGTCCTGGCCTGCCCTGTCTCTCGCTGCCTACTTTTACTGCTAACCTCTGGGTACTTGGCCAGAATTCTTAGGATACCAGCCTCACTGGGGTCTAGTGGTCTATCCTGTCTGGGCTGTGGACCAGGTCTGTTCCATGCTATTGCTCATGCCTAAGAGAGACTGTGCCTCTCTCCCAAAGGATGGCCACCCCATGAGGCTCACCCAGGCCTCCATTCCTGCGGACCACAACCAACCAGACTCCCTTCCTGCAAGCGGGACCTGCTGCCTGAGAAACACAAGCCATTGTGTGCCGTCTGCCCTGGGGCCTGGCATGGTGGGAGCCTCGGTCCTGCAGTGACAGGGCTTGTTCTATTTATAACATTCTAGAAGTGTCCATCCACGGGGACACAGTTCTCCAGACTGAGGACAACGTTGCAATAAAAGAATATATTGTAAGAAAGACACTGGATCTTTTATTTTTTTTCTTTCATTTTCTTTAAAAAACAAAACAAAACAAAAAAAAGCCTGAAGCAAAATCTTTTTAAGAGTAGTTACAGATATTATAGGGTTAAAGGTGGGGGCACTAAGACAGAAAAGAAAAGCACCAGTGAGATGCCTTTCTAATTTTCTTCTCTCCCATCACTGAATACAGACAGCCAACAAAGCCCAAGTCACTTTTTTTCCCGCCCTCTTCCCTTGCAAAAAAAGGAGAAACAGAAGATTTTAAGAATTTTGAAAAGATTTTGTGTGTGTGTAAAAATCAATGCTATAAATCTAAACAAAGTCTTTTTTTTTTTTTAAAGTTCTAAAACAACAGGAAGAAAACACATAGAAAGAAAACCCTGGTGGAGACCTGGTTAATTACGGACTGAGGCTCTTTCTTAACGAGAATATAAAATAATAGAAATGCAGAGGGCTCTTCCCGTGGGCAGGGCCTGCTCCTGCAGCTCCTGCTACCCGCTTCCCTTTCAGCTGCCCTCCGCTCCCCTGCCGTCACCCTCCTCTCTCCTTGTAAAGATAAAACCCCGCTCCTGTGACTCTGATCCTCCTGACTCCCGTTGGTGAGTGTGGTGGCCGCCTGTGGGCGCAGGGCGGCTACTTGGCATCAAGCTTGGCCATCTCCTGTACGTAGATGCCGATGCTCTCGCTGTCGAAGAGGAGGAAGTAGACGTTCTTCAGCGAGGATGCGCTCGAGTCATCAAAGTGGGCTGAGATGGCTTTGAGGGTCACCTGGGCTGCCGTCTGTTTGGGGAAGCAGTTTCTGTGCCAAAGGGAAAGAGGAGCCAATGTCACTTTGGTTCTGGGGCCCATGAAGGAACTCTGCCCTCAGCCTGGGGTCGGGGCGACGTGATTCCTTCTTATCTTGGCACCAGGCCCTTGTTCCTGTCACTCAAGGTCTTACTGTGCGCAGGGGGGTCCACACACAGTCTCTTTGGACCCCAGAAGAGGGACAGCCTGGGAAGGAGACAGGCAGGGGTCATTGTCCCCACTTTACAGGTGCCACCTTGGCTCAGAGAGGCACCATGGTTTTAGGGCTGGCTGGTGAGGAGCCCTGTGCTTGAATCTATGTGGCCTGACTCAAGTCTGGCTTAGCTTTAAAAAATACAAACTCAGGATTTAAAATACCTGATCTTGCAGAAAGCTTGTATAGTTTTTATTAGCTCCCTCCAAACTGGTTTCCATGCTAAACGGATTGTTTATTAAAGGGCACAAATGTATGCTCAAAAGAGGCACATCTTCATTAATTCCTGTTTCATGCATTTAACCTTCCTCTCACTAACCCATGTGGATGTGCCAATGTAACTTCAGCAGTGACAATTCTGGGCAGGGCCCCAGGTCCCAGGAGAGCTGTCAAGCTATCAAGCATGCCACAGGAGAGCTGTCTGCCAGGGACACAACCATCGTGGTGAAACCTTGGCCCCCTTGGGTGGGTCTGGGATGGGCTGGCCTAATAAAACATTCTTCTTGGTCAGCTGTCATGTCCCAGCCCAGGACATCCTGGTGAGTGGTTGCAGTTGTATGCAGAGAATTCCATCCTCAGCGCCTCCAGGCCAGGCTATGGAGACCCAGCACTGCCCGCTTAGGTTGAGATAGAATTGTGTCAGGAAGCTAAGCCTCATTCCTTCCCTCTCCGCCTTCCGCTGTGACTCAGCTGTAACATCTTCAGACTGTAAATCATTATCTTCGCTATGGAGGACTCACTCTTGAGAGGGTGTTCAAAATTAAAGCAATAACTCCCTCTGGCTGTGAGTGTGAGGGGAGAGGCCATGCTACATGTGAGGACAGACAGCCTCATTATTTACCTGAAATATTGCTCCCATGCCCTGTTGGGGTCTGTGGCAGAGACAGCAATCATTTCTCCAACCCCTGAAAGCAAGCTCTTGCTGAGGATCTCTCACTTCTCCAGCCTGGCTCGCCCTGGGGGTTCTGAGATCTGCATCCTAACTCTGTGGGCTCCCTGCTGCTGGTCGGTGGACCACGCTTTGAGAAGCAAGCGCCTTCGAGCCTGGTGTTTCCCAGTCTGTGTTCTAGACGGGGACAGCTGATGAGCATGTGGACTTTGAACCCGGCTCTCAAAAACGAACTCTGCCTCCCGTTCCTCCTGGAAGCTACCTTTCTCTGCGTGTTTCGAACGAGGGAAACTGGGTTTCTCACTCTGTCGCCTGGTCAAAGTGCTTGGCGGCCACTGGCAGTCCTTGGTTCTGTCCTCTGGGATGGCCACGCCGGATGTGACCACGTGGAGGCACAGCTGGCTCCCAGGGAGAAGGCTGCATGAACTGACTGAGCATCCCCGCCGCCCGCCCAGAAGAGAACATCTCACCTGCCGCTGGGGAAGGGCGGGAACGCCACCGACTTCAGCTTCTTGTCCTCTGCTGCCGAGAGGCAATTTTTGATGGTCTCTTCAAGCTGTTCTTCACATTTGTCAGAGCCCCACTGCGGGATGTGACAGTGGATGACAAATTTGGCTGCAAGTCCGCTCGACTGGCTGACGGCGGCTGGGACAGGAGAGAGAAATGCCATAGGTTATTTCCTATGTCTTCACCTTAAGCCAGGGGGTTAGGCTGAATCTCCTGTGTCCTCCTTAGGAGAGGAAGAGCCGTGTCAGAATTGCTTTTGACAGTTGGCACAAGCTTCAGGTAAACAGTGAAAACAGATGTGACAGTGTGTCACAGATGTTCACGTGGTCTGCCTTCTGGCCTCCTAATCAAAGGTATGGGGCTTCCCAGGTAGTATGTGTGCAGTGGTAGAGAATCTGCCTGCCAATGCAGGAGACGTGGGTTCGATCCCTAAGTTGGGAAGATCCTCTGGAGGAGGAAATGGCAACCCACTCCAGTATTCTTGCCTGGAGAATCCCAAGGACATAGGAGCCTGGCAGGCTACAGTCCATAGAGTCACAAAGTGTCAGACATGACTGAAATAACTTAGTACAAACGGAAGCTGAAACGGGCAAGGAACAGCTGCTTTAAGAAGGAGCCAGCCCTGCCAGCACCTTGAATTTAGTTTCTTAAGACTCATTGCGGCCTTCTGATGTCCAGGGTGCTAAGACAATACATTTGTGCTGTTTGATGCTACCAAGTTTGTGCTAATTTGTGCAGGTCTGTAATAGTTTCTAGTGATAGGAAACTAATACAGTGGCTTTTTAAAAATGGACAAGCCTTCTCTCCTCTCCCCATCTGAGATCCTGACTTGGTAAGTCTCATGCAGGCCTTGTGCTTGGTGATTTAAGGACCCTCCATAAATTGAGAACCACTCTACTATGTTGTACACCTCCTTGGACAGGGACTATCTTTTGATCATCTCTGTATACCTGAGGAGCCTGCAGGGAGCAGGTGTTCCCAACAGGTTGTGAAGTTAGATCACGCCTGCTTGGTCTCATAATTTCAGGTCATATTCCCTCCCTATAACCTCTTTCCTGTCAGTGCCAGAGCTGATAGTGAGGAGTTCTAGGTAAATCCCTGTGGCCATTGATCTCCAAACGAGTGGCTGGGTCTGATCCACTGGCCACTCTCTGGCCCCTTGGGGGTGTCCGTGGCTTCAGCCACCTGCTGCTTGCCTCTAAGCCACCCACCTTGTGGAGCAGGGGCTCTGTGCCACTCAAGGAACCAGATTTAGCAAAGGTCCTCCACCCTCCTGCAGTGGCCAGGCTCTGAGAGACTGGGGGACTTCGGGCAGGTCACGCTGCTAGGGAGCGTTTCTAACAAATGTATGTCTGCCACATTCCACAGCAGCGTGTGGGGTTGGTTTGAAAGACTTATTTGGAATGTATGATGCCCACCCAGTACACGAGTGTGTTTCCTAGTGATGTCCATCCACAGCGCTACAGAGGCCAGGGTGGGTGGCGACAAACGCAAGGAGCGTCCCCCGCCCGTCGGCTCCAGCTGTGAACGCCCTGCCTTCCCAGTGCCCAGGTTGGCGCCAAGCGTCTGATTAGTGAATGAGTGAGTCAAGGAATCAGTCAATGTAAATACTGAGGCAGCAGCGGGCATGACTGGCTGACTCTCCGACCATGTACATTTGTACACCAGAAGCAGAATATTACCATTGGCCTTGTGGTTCAAGGGAACCCAGTATCGTGGGGATTGGCACTGCCTGCTTGGGGCAACTTCCCTGAGGCCCTCACTGTTCTTATACGCTGGGGAGATTTCAGCTCCTTACAAACCAGCTCCTTACAAAATAAAGGCTGATTTATTTTCTATATATTTAAAATATGATCATGTTACCAGCTGAATGATACTCTTTTTAATGTTAAAAGTCATTTTAAATAAGAGGTGGTGTTTTAAAAAAAAGGGGGGGGTAAAGGAAACAAAAAAAAAAAGGCAAGCCCTCCCAACCCCCCCGAAAACCCCCAATTAAAACAAGTTTTTTTTTGTTGTTGTTATTGTTGTTTCTTTCTTTGGTGTTTTTGGTCCATGCTACCTGGCATGTGGGATCTTAGTTCCCCCACCAGGGATTGAACCCAGGCTCCCTGCAGTGGGGACCGTCAGAGAAGTCTCTACACTAGATTTTGAAGGTAGTACATGGTAGCAGGTCAGCCTAAAACAAAGCATTTCCATGGCAACTGGAAATGGAAATCTCCGCTTGTAGTTGTAATGATTTAGTGTTCTCTAGAGGTGCCAAGGTGAAGGTCAAGTGATCTTGGGGCTTGGGACCCTGATATTTGGTATAAACATCTACTAATACTCTTTATGTGATGTGATGTCCCCTGGTGTGTCACCTTCACTTGGTGAGGACCATGCTCTGAGATGGCAGAGTGACTGCAAGGGGCCTCTAGAACCTTCCTTAGGGGAGCCCAACACCTTTTCAGAGTCACCACCATCAAGCAGATGGCAGGGTGGCCCCTTGTCCTGCTGGGAAGCTGCTGCGACAGCTAATCCTTGGTCTCCATGACTCTGTGCTTTCCCTCCTGCCTCAGTTTCCTGCAGCAGCCCCTCCTTCTCCTGTCCACCCAGGCCTGGTACT